TTTTTTGGTCTTTTTGAGACAGGGTCTCCCTGTAGCCCCAGCTGGCCTAGAACTCACTATGTAAACCAGGCTGGACTTGAACTCATAGAGATCTGCCTGCCCCTGCCTCCCAAGCACTGGGGCTGAAGGCGTGCACCATTATGCCCTGCTTATCCTTTGCATCTTATGTTTTGCTTTCAGTGGTACTCTGGTTTCTGATCATTTGCTTTTGAAATGTCTTAGGTGCCTTTATTCTCTTTCCCGCTCATCTTGCTGCCATAGGTCTTTTTCCATGTCTGCTGTGTCTTCTGTTCCCACTGCTGTTCTCTTGCTTCAGCTTCTTGTTGATGATAATCTTTTAAACTAGTCTCCTGGCTGAGCCTTCTCTGCGCACATGGCCCACCAACTAACTTCCCAAAAGTGTGACTGTTTTAGAATGCCATTGCTTGTTTCCAAAGAGCACCTCCAGTTATGTATTTTTCTTTTTAGTTTTAAATCCAAATAATGTTTCTAAATAAAAATGCAGAATAACAGATTTTTGTAAAACTCACATTAGAATACACCTTAAAATATTATCACATACTACATTTACTTAGAATTAGTAGATCCAGATCCAATCTGTTAATTATAAATGTGTGTTCCTTTCTTTGAATTATAAATGTGTGTTCCTTTGAGTAAAAAGGAAGCTTATGTGAAATGCCAGACACACCAGGGTGGTCAGCAGTGGCTCAGTACCTCCAGGAGTCAAGCCTAGAGTCTGGCCTCCCTGGTAGGGTGATCTTCCCTGTAGCTTCCTCCAGGTTCGTTGGAGGGGCTGTGACTGGATGCGTCCCACGTCCTGTGGCCATGGTCCTTCACTTTCTGGTGACAGCACAAGTACCACTACTGTTTTCCTTGAATTGAAAAATTCTACAGAAAATAAGTAGCATGCTTACAAATTTTACTGTAAGGAGCTCTAGGAGCTTTATTGAGACTCTTAGCACTGCTGGTTCCAGAAAGTTTTGATCTGGTTCCCTTTTATGTGTGGTTATTTGTACCTCGGGGACATGGTCCACACAGACCATTCATTGCTCACAAGGTGGAACCAGCTGTGGTCCTTTCCCATGGCTGTGCCATGTCTCTGCTCTGGCTCAGACTATCCTCTCTCCAGTTAGAGTACCTAGCTGATTTCATTTCTTCTTTTCTTATATTCTACTGTCTGTTTTGTAAATGGTATTTTAGAATGTTCCTGCAGAATTTCGTTTCATCCTATTAATCAACAATTTGAGGCTTTTGCATAACAGTAGCCTTCTAGTTGTTTTGCTGGTCTGTAAATCTCATCTGATTTGTGTAAGAGCAGGACATTTATTGCTCGGTGATAACATGGTCTCAATAAAGGGAGCTTGCATATGAGATAAAGTATATTTTATGTTGAAAAAGGAAATACATAGTTGAAAGATAAATATTATCAAAAGTACATTAAAAATCTAAACCAGGAAAGTTGTTTGATCTTCAGATTCAGAGTTGCAAGAACACAAGGCTTGCAGTAGGCGTAGGCAGTGATGCCAGCCCTCATCAGCAGGAGGCGCTGCAGCTCTTTTGAGGGTTTACTGCCTTCTTAACTTTCACCTTAAATTGGCTGAAATCATTGTGGATTTTTTGTGTCTTGCCATTATTTAAAAGCCTTTCAGTAGATTGCCAGTTAAAGGGCTAAAATCTGATTTAAAATTTCCCTACTTTTTAAAGTTTAGATTTATAGGAAAATTATAATAGTACAAGGGTTTTTGTATATCCAAACTGTACAGAGTGAAGTGAACATTTTACTTCATTTGCTTTTTCCTTCTCTCTGTACACACACAATTTTTTCTAAACTATTTGATAGTAAATTGCAGATAATTCTTTAGTCTGCAAATACTTTATCATTCATTTCCTAAAATTGACTTTCCAGGATAACGATCAAACCAAAAGAACCAACATTGACACAGTACCAGTATCTGTAGCCATTGCTCACATTGGAACAGTTAGTTCATTTACAGACCTCTCCCCTAATCAATCCTGGGTTATACATGGCATTCATTTTTATGTCTCTGTTCTCCTGTAATCTGGAACAATTCTCACCCTTTATTTGTGTTTTTAACGCTTGTATTTTTTAGGATGTCCATCTCGGTTTGAGTTTGTATGGTTTTCCTCAGGATTGGATTCAGGGTATATATTCCACATAACGCAGGAGTGATGTGTTTTAAGATACACACTGAGTGCCAAGGTCCATTACTAGCTGTGTTAGATTCTGAGCTCTTAGTTTGTTACTATTTGTACTAGGTTGGTTTAATGTATGGGGAAGATAACTTTGAGACTATTTGAATGTGTTCTTGCTTTTCAAATCCTGTCCTTTGCTTTAGCATTTACTTGATTGTTACCTGCATCTGTCAGGTATGCGGTTGCCCACAGGTTCTTTTCCAGTGCTGTCGTTCCATCAACATTTATTTGTTGGTGTTCTACTATACAAAGGCTCTTCCTCCTCTTTCCATTTTGTTTGTTTTGAATCATTGAAGATATATTGGTTCTTACTTTACTTCACAGCCATTTTTTACTGACAGGACACCAGAATCCTTTGAGGCTTACTCTTGTCAGGCTTAAGTTTTAAAACTGGTATTTTTTTTTTCCACTTGCTTCATTAGCAAATCATAGAAGCACTAAAATCTAAGATGCCATTTTTGGCATTGAGTTTATTCATTCTTTTAAAAATATTTTCCAAGTGAAAACAATAAAATGCCTTCAGAGTTTTGAAGTTCCATGAAATATGTTTTAGTATTTTAGGTATTAAGAAGAAGAAGGTTTGAGGGAAAAACTTTTTCAATGACGCTACCTAATGTTCTGTTGCAACGTCTTTATTTTTATTTTTCATATTTGAGACAGGGTCTTGCTAAGTTGCCCACAGTGTTCTTGAACTTGCTAGGTAGCTGAGGCAGACCTTTAAGATAAAATTGTCCTGCCCTAGCCTCCCTAGTAAGGAATTACAGGTGTATTGCTACCGTGCCATGCTTCTACTAATCTTATGTAGTCTTTACAGCTGTGTAGCAGGTGGGAGACTAGCCTGAGCTACATGAAGCCTTATCTCAGAAAACCATAAATAAATACCTTTAGAAATATTAATGAGAAGATATTTGTGTCAAATAGCCCAGTAAGCATTTCAGCTTAATGGGGAAATTCTAATTATCTTTTTTTTTTTTTTTTTTTTTTTTTTTTTTTGGTACAGCAAAAAAGAAAATTGTGACTAGATGTCATAATTAATTTGGCTCAATTAAATTCAGTAAATAAACAGTATTTATTTTACCTTAAGTTGCAGTTCTACAAATTCTATTTTTGTCTGTTTTTTTATAGCTGAAAAATACAAGGACTTAGCTCCTGATAACACAAAAACTACTGACAATGCAACTAAGAATGCAGAGCCATTGATCAACTTGGACGGTGAGTGTATGGCATGCAGTTGCGTGGTTGGTTTCCTAAATGCTTTTTACTTCTGGAATGAAATCCCGTTTACCAGAGTTTATTTGGTAAGTTAGGAATGCTTCACATGGATAGCATGGACTGTGTTTTCTGTCATGGGTTAGAGTGTGCTTTTTCACGTACCTGTAGCTGAATATTTGGATGTTAAAATGCTGGGGGGCAGGGGTTGTGTTATTGTTTTGACTTTTTCCTCCTAGTAATTTGGGTTTTGATTTCCATTTCATCTTGCCAGTCATTGTTTTAATTTTTTCTTTTTAAGCCAGTGACAAATAGTAAAAATTTTCATTAAGTCCCACATGTCCTTCAGTAATTCCTTTTTATTTTTTTTAAATTTTTTAAATATTTTATTTATTTATTTTTTAGTCTTTTTGAGACAGGGTCTCCCTGTAGCCCCAGCTGTCCTGGATTCACTATGAAAACCAGGATGGCCTCAAACTCAGAGATCTGCCTGCCTCTGCCTCCCTAGTGCTGGGATTAAAGGCATGTGCCACCACACTCGGCTGTTTTTATATTTTTATGTGTATACGTGTATTACTTGGGTGTAGGTAAGTGCACCCATGTCGTGCAGTGCCCACAGAGGACAGAAGAGGGTGTCGGTTTCCCTGGGACTGGAGCTACGGACAGTTGTTAGCTGCCATGTGGGTGCTAGGATTCGAACCTGGGTCTTCTGCAAGAACATTCAGTGTTCTTAACTGCTGAGCCATCTCTCTAGCCCTAATTCCCCTTTTTAAAGTATGAAGATTCTAATTACCTACACTATAATGTGTTAAATATGCTTTCCCAGGCTGATTGATTGAGGAAAACTCTGTTGAAGGCATCTTTGTATAAAATTAATAGCTCTGGGAAGAAATGTAAATTTAAAATACCCCATAAGCAGGGAGTGGTGTTATACGCCTTTAAGCCCAGCACTCAGGAGGCACTCTGTGAGATCGAGGCCAGCCTGGTCAAGTTCCAGGCCTATTGGGGCTATAGGCAGACTCTATCTCAAAAAGAAAAGAAAAAATCCCCATAAATGAATGGGTCTTTTAGATAGTTACTGGACAAATTTAATATGAGTTATATTGGTTGTTTGTGAACTCTCTGGTGAGGTATATTAATAAGGAAACCTGTTGGTCTTAGCCATTTTCCTAATTGTTGATACTCTACACTGCTTTTTGTATTTTCTCAACAACAAAAAATGAGATCAGTTGATAATTTAAAGTTGGCCTGTTCACAAATATGTAGTTACATGTTTGCTGGGCTTATAAGATTTTGCTTGTTTTTGATCTTCCACAGTAAATAACCCTGATTTCAAGGCTGGTGTAATGGCTCTGGCTAATCTCCTGCAGATTCAGCGCCACGATGATTACCTAGTAATGCTTAAGGTGAGCCTTGCCAGAAACTGTACATACAAAAGTCTCTTCACTTTTCTGTTAGCTACTTTTACTTAAATTTATGATTGAATGAATAAAATACAGAAGAATGTGGTACTAAAGGAGACTTCATGATTTTGTTTCACATCAATAATGAGCTAATGCCAGAATATAAACTGTGCGTGTCACTGCTTTATCTTTTCAAAGATAATTGCACTCAATGCTCTTAATAATCATGGTGAGAAATACTAAAATTCGTTTTTAAAAAAATCTGGGCACTGGGGGATGGTTCATTCTGTAAAGTGCCTGCCACATGAGCATGAGGATCTGAGCTCAGAACCTAGCACCCACATAAAAAAACCAAGCGCAATGACACATGACACATGTCTGTAGTCCCAGTGCTGGGGAGGCAGGCAGACTGGTGGATCCCTGGGGCTTGCTGGTCAGCCAGTCCTGCTGAGTCAGTGTGAGCCATCTCAGCGGCCCCAGTTTTATTTTTGACAAAGGTGTAAAGGCAATTTAGTGGAGAAAATTGAGAAGATAAGGTAGAGAGCAGCTGAGGAAGACACCCAGTGTCGACGTCTGACCTCCACACACCTGTGCAGGCACACCACATGCACATATATGAATATACATATACATACACACACATACCACACACCCAAAAAAATAGGGGAACCTGACCTAAAAAGGGATAGATAATATCCAAGAAGATAGAAAATAGTAGATCCAGGAATTGAATCTAAGCTCTCTGACCCTGTTCATTCTTTTTCATACATTACCCACCTGTTTGATCAGCCCTTTAAGGTTTCACCATCTGTGTTCATTAAGGCAATGCCGAATCACTAATACTGAATTTTTCCAAGCAACAAAAACACCAAAATCTCTTTGGAAAACAAATGCCTCGGTCTACGGAGATCTCCCTTTCTAGGTGGACCACACAGGTCATACCTCCACAATGAGGGGCACAGCCATCTGAAAGAACGTGTTTTAAAATTTTTATTATTTTCATTTTGTGTATGAGTGAATTGCCTGCATGTATATGAGTGCATCCATGTCATGCAGTGCCACGGAAGTCAGAAGAGGGCTTCAGATTCCCCTGGAACTGGAGTTAAGGACGGTTCATAGCTGCCATGTAGGTGCTGGTAATCGAACCCAGGTCCTCTGCAAGAGCAGTCAGTGCCCTTAACCTCTGAGTCATATCTCCAGCCCTGAGCTTCTTATTCTTGAGAGAGAAAAAGATACACTCCAGACAGCTTATACCCAGTGACTGAAAGTACAATGGGGTGGAGCAGAGTGGCCCTTCAGACACCAGACTTGGAAACTATTTTAGTATTTGCAAGAGATTGAAAAGTTTTTAACTACACATTGTAAATGGAGGTGCTTTAAACTACTTCATAATAAATTAAATTTCACTCTATCCAGAAGGGATTATAATTTATCCCATTTATTAGAATTCTATATATTAAATTAGTTTTAAGACAGAAACTACTATTCTTAGCTTATGACAACCTTCAACCTGAATCTGAACATTAACTTGGAATTTCTCAGCCCAGATTAAATGGTAAAGACATCAGGTTGTTTGACTTGAGCTGTTTCAAAGTTTGTGCTTCACTGACAAGTATGCAAACTTCCTTGAGACAGTTCCACAGTTGTCATGTCAGCTTTAGTCATAAACTGAATGAGAGCAGAAATGGAAAGTGCTCACAGGATTTGGGGTGCTTTTGTTGGGTTTTAGAAGCCCAGTCGGAATCACTGTACTGGCTATAACAAAAAGCTTTATCAAGTCCTATTCCTAGACACATGTTTATCCTCTGTGTTAGGAAGCATTCAAGTAATACATGGTAATGTAGAAAGTATCTTAGATTTGCCAGGTACAAAAATCAGTGTATCAGGGCTGCTCATTGATGGAACAATTGCTTAGCATGCATAAAGCCCTGGGTTCAATCTCTAGCATGGAGGCAGGGGTGGGTATCATTGTATTAACAGTCTGAAAAGCACTGTGTTTTTGGGTTTCTTAGGCAATTCGCATCTTGGTTCAAGAGCGTCTAACTCAGGATGCAGTTGCTAAAGCAAACCAAACAAAAGAGGTATGTGTGTGTTTTTAAGATTCTAAACCAGTAAATACAAATTTCTTCTGTTCTTGCCATGGGTTTAAACTTTGTATTTTTTAAAGATACCCATTCTGTTGGAACAGAAAGGATAGCAAACTTTAGCATGAATTCAAGTAACCCAGTATTCAAGTCACCCATGTATTCAGTCACCCAGTCACCAAGGTCCAGACAGATGAACAGTGAAATTCATTTCGTCCACCCTTCATGTTTTAGGGAATATCAGTAGTCCATTCAGTCTGCAATCTAAGACATATGCCCACATGGAAGAGGATTTAGTCTTGTGAAATTTATTGAATTACTCTGATGCATGGTAGAAAAGGACACACCTGTGTTACTAGTTTTCTTTCTAAATCCAAATTTCATCCTTGCTCTTTTAATTTTTCATAGTAATTTGTCTCATTTTGTTCAGTATGCCATGATTGCCTCCCCTTAAGTAAAGAATGTTACTAGACTATTATTAAACACATCTCCAGTTCAAACATTCCTAAAGCCACACTGATTGTAAGACAGTGCAGAGAATGGCCTTGGGTTAGGAGCAGCAGCAGCAGGTACCTGAACTGGCCCCTTCCTAGGGTAGAAATTGTAGTATATGCCTTGGGTAACCATCCTCTGGACTCTGGTCCTTCGTGTGTGTGTGTGTGTGTGTGTGTGTGTGTGTGTGTTTTCCAAGTCCTCCACTGCCCTTTGCCCTCTGACCCCTTTAGTCAAGTCCAGCAGTGTTGAAGGGTTGCTGACACCAGGGCAGTGTAGTCCTCTCTGAAAGACACTCAGTTTTCTACTGAAGGCTCTTACTGGCTTAATTACGTATGAATTGGGCACTGGAAATTAGATCAGAGGTCATTTTATTTTGCCCATCGTATATAACAGGCAGTGAATTGTTGTGGTATAATAAAATCATTCATTTAGCAACACTCTCTTTAGTTTGGAAGGCAGTACAAGTAAGAGCCTAGGCAAATCTCCTTACTTTTATTTGCAAAGTAGAACTTAGCTTTACTCTCATTGCTCCTAATTCTAACTTTGGTGTCATCCTAAAAGACACCAGCCGGCCTATAATAAATGTGGTGGACAAGTTCTTGAGTAGAGTTCTCTGTAGTCATTCATGACTAATAGTTGAGAGATATGGTAGTTTTAAGGAATAGCTGTTCCTTGGTGGTCTGTTGCAGACAAAAGTACAACTTCAGCCTTGGTACCAGACACCACAGACATAGGGGCTGATTAGTTGGTTAGTAACATGTTTTAAAGTTCTGAGACACTGTCAAGTAACTTGCAAATGAACTATCAAAACTTAGCATATATAAGGCTAGGTGTGGTGGCACACATCTTTAATCCCAGTACTCAAGAGGCAGAGGCAAGTGCATCTCTTGAGTTCAAGGCCAGCTTGGTCTACATAGTTGAGTTTCAGCCAGCCAGCACTACCAAGTGAGACCTTCTCTCAAAAATAAACAAAAGGGGGGAGGGGTATGTAAATAATCTGATAAACACTCCAGCTGAAAAAAGGGTCTATGTATTTTAGATAGGTTTGTATACTTAATAAAAATAAGCTACTACGTTGAAATACAGAATTGTTAAAAAGTAGTGTACTGCACGCCCTTCTTAGCTGTCAGCCCTCCTCCTAACAAACACCTTTGCAGTAAGGAATGTTACAGGCCTGGCTTAAAGAATTGGATGGACGTTAGAATTTCCCATATTTAAAAACCACTGTTTCCTAGGTTGTTGTAACGGGGGGAATCTTGCTCAGCACAAGGTAACATAAAATTCTTGGGCCCCTAACTGCAAGTAAGAGTTAAATGGAAGTTAGCTGCTTTTTACAATTCCCTATGAGAAAAACTGTAGTTTCATTTTGTCCTTTTTTTTTTTTTTTTAAAAGGGCTTGCCTGTTGCTTTAGACAAACATATTCTTGGTTTTGACACAGGAGGTAAGTTCCTTTGTTTTAATTCAAACTATTTTGAGACACTTAGTATTGTTGGAAGATGAGTGAACAGATGGTCATAAGTACAAAAATGATATACTAACGCAGTGTTCTTGTGAAACAGATGCAGTTCTTAATGAAGCTGCTCAGATTCTTCGATTGCTACACATAGAAGAACTCAGAGAACTCCAGACAAAAATCAACGAAGCCATAGTAGCGGTCCAAGCAATTATTGCTGATCCAAAAACAGACCACAGACTGGGAAAAGTTGGAAGATGAACCATCAGGATGTCACCTTCTCACCTGCTTAGTACAGTGGGAACCATGTACACTTCCGGCATGTGTTTGGAAATCAATGTCACGTTTTCAAGGGAGAATCCCAGAAAATTGGTGGTGTTCTAGAGATTTACCACCACTGCTTTTTTCTTTAATAAAGTTTGGGAAAGTAGTGGGAATTTGTTTTTAATGATGTATCATATTTCTGTGACAAATGTGCTTTCTCCTTTGTGGTAAGACACAGACACTCAGCATTCTTTGAGACAGTATAGATCTTTAGGCCACAAGAAAACTTTAAAATGTTTTATTGGAGTTATGTAGAGAATTGAGAACTGCTACATCTTTGGTCTTTTACATGTAATATTTTTGGTGGGTACATCTATAGAGGCACTTAGGGGGACCAGAAAATACAGATTGAATCATTCTAGCACCTTTTAATATAAATAGAAACACATTGATACAGAGGTTAAAAAAAGTCTCAGAACTGTTGTTGGGAAAGTATAAATAAGTTGGGTCCTCCCGTGGGTTCTGCATAGTCTCCATGGCTGCTGATGGTCTCTGGGATTTTATTTTCACAGCCAATTGTGCGCTTTTGGTTTCTTGGCCAGGTAGGATCCACGGCAAAAATCAGATTTGGTATCCTAAGCTCTAGTTGGTTCTTAGTTGAATGAATTTAGCCTTTTAAATAAGTGTTTACAAAAAGTTGCTTTCCTAAGCAACAATTAAAATTCTATTTTTTAAATTTGTGATAATCTTTGTTTAAAAAATACAGTAGTAAAGATTGAGGTATAAACTTTTCACAACATACACTTCGTCTTGTTGCTCTAAAACTGCTCATCTTGTACATCCAGAGCTTAAAACGGCCAATTCCTTTTTCACTTTCTTCGCCTTTACAACAAATGTTCTTAGGTCAAGATTCTGATTTGTAAACTTGAAGTCCTCATATACATCTCGTGTTCATTTTCTTCCTGTGAGGGAAGGGGACAGTGGTGAATGCTTCGAATAGTTAAGCTAGGAAGACTCAAGGTAGTACAGAGAACAGTGCTGGCAGTTACCACAGACAGCCCTTCTCTACCTGCCAGTCCAGAGGGGCAGCATAAAACCAGTTCACTCACCTGTGGGGCAGTAGGGGTAGACTGCAGTGATCCCATAGAGGTGAGATCGTTGCTCTGGGAGATACTCATCAATAAACTGCCCACTGTCTTTATTCACTGATATAACGCCATCCCTGATAACAGAAGGGGAGAGCCCATTTATAGACGGTCAGTCACTAGATTAATCAAAGAGCAATTGCACAGCTTTCTAGAATATGTATTTTAAAATCAGTTCAGCTAAATAAGTTTTGACTCAAAAGAGTTGTGTAACCCCAGTGCTTCTCAGGATGGCCCCTAAACCAGTATCACCTGGGAACTTTGAAGAAATGCAAATTCCTGCTCCCCCTCCCCATAGCCCTACTGAGGCAGAAACTGGGATAATGCCCAGCAATGCACCTAACAGGTCCTTTGGTGATAACTGATGCCAATGCAAGTTTGGGAGAAAATCAGTTTTCAGTCCTGGCTGCAGCTTAGTTACAGGAGGGTCTGTTAAAGTGACGGTTAAGTTTCATGGCAGACTAGGTAAATGTAGGAAGTGGAATAAAAGGACTAGACTTGTTCTGTTTTTAAAGTATTCCTCAGCCAAATAGTATTTTTCAGTCTTTAGGTAGAGAGGACAATATTCTGTTTTGTTTTGAATCAAACCCTGTACCTAGTAATGTGGTACCAGTTAAAGGTACTGCTAGTCTCTGAAGAACAGGGTTTTTTTTTTTTTAATGTGTTTATTTTTAGATAGTATTGCCAAGAGCTTTTAAGCTGCCTGTGAGCAACTCCAGGTAAAGTAAAGACGACTTGAGAGGCTGTAATGGACCTTGAAGAGTGGTCTCTGCTGGTGAGATAATAACAAGTCCAAGCAGAGGGCGCACGGATTAATCATTCAAGAACTAGTAAAACACGGAGCACGCTCTGCAGAGCCCTTTGCCTTTCCAGGCTGGTCAGAGTGTGGGACCCACCTCCGCCAGTCTGTGTGGTAGAAATGATCTGCATAGCTGACGATGCTGAAGGGGTAGTTGAGGTGACTCTGGATGACACGCCGTCCAGTTCCGTCAGGTAGAGTGCACTCCAGTTTTTTGGTCCCTTTTGAAATATCCAAGGAGGAAAATGAGATTCCCTACAGGGCATGCACAAAAAGCTGTTCTGATAAAAATGACAGTGCCAGATAGATTCCTGCTCAAGGGAAACAGAAACAGGACATGCTTCCCATGGTGGTCAGAGATCAGCAGCTGTGATGTCCTTTACCATGACTAGTCTCCAGTTGGTTCAGTAGCACTCTAGAATAGATTCAAACTTAAATCCTTTTATGTAAGAAATGATTGAATCTCTTGGAATCTGGCTGATTCATCAAAAGTGGAGCATTAGAAATAAACATTTTCATAATTTTAAGCCTAAACTTATAAATTGTTGGAAACAGCATCTCAACAGCCTATCTTATGTAAAGCAACATACAAGGCAATCAACCAAAATACCTTATTTTCTAGGTGTAAGAAAAACAATGAATATGGTAATGGGTATTTTTACATGTAAAGGAAGCACTTGAAAATTCTGAAAACGCTAAGGAATTCAAGAATTGTCAAGTTCCACATTTCTTGTGGAGAAACTTAAATTTCATATTTTTAAAAAACCATAATGTTTGGACAATTGGATTGTAAAAACCACCTATCTGTATATTAGATAAATTCAATTTCTTTAGTGGAATGAGACACATAGCTTCATTGAGTCTTTTAGTAGTAAGCACACCACAGAAACAGGTGCTAACCTGAATGCATTCCTGGAGGAAGCCATCTTGTCACAGCACTTTTCAAATGCCCTCAGCACCATAGTGCACAAAGTGACAAAATTTCACAGTTATGATATTGGCCCAAAGGACACTAACCTCCATTAATCAATAATGGCTAATATTTCTTTAAACTTAAAATGTTTTCCAAGTGCTCATGGTGGGGTCAGGGAGCAGAACAGACTTACTGCCCAGTGCAGATTCCTTCCCCTCAAACTATAAAATTCACTGTAAGAATCACTACTATATTGGGGCTGAGGAGATAGCTCAGCAGTTAAGAGCACTGGCTGCTCTTACAGAGGACCAGGGTTCGATTCCCAGCACCCACATTGTGGCTAAAAACCATTTGTAACTCCAGTTTCAGGGGAATCTGATGCCCTCTTCTGACCTTCGTGGGCATTACACAACATGAGTGCACCTACCTACATGTGGGCAATAAATACACTCATACACATAAAATAGAAATAGTATGTTTTTTTAAAAAGAACTACAATGTTTTAAAAACGCTTACAGATCCAGCAGATTATGTGATACAAATTTAAACCAAAGGATCTTCAGATGGGTAAGAGTTGGTTCTGTAGTAAAATCTACTCACACCACTGTAAGGAAAGCTCATCTCTGCAATTCATTATTACCTGCATCTGCCCAGCAGAGCAGTTTGGAGAAGGGGTCAAAGGTTAATCCGTTGGGTAATCCAATATCTTTATTGATCAGAATTCTTCTGTTTTCTCCATCTAAAGAAGATGTTTCAATTTTAGGAGCTTCTCTATTCCAGTCTGTCCAGTACAAGTTGCTGTGGATAAATTTTTTTAAGATTATAAAAAAATAGTTGTGCAGGGGTTGGCAATATAGCTTACTGGTAGCAGCTCTTGCCCAACATATACAAATCCCTAGACTTGCAGGGCATGGTGGCACACGCCTTTAATCCCAGCACTCGGGAGGCAGAGGCAGGTGGATCTCTGTGAGTTGAAGGCTAGCCTGGTCTACATAGTGAGTTCCAGGACAGCTGAAAATAAATAAATAAATAAATAAATAAATAAATAAATAAATAAATAAATCCCTAGACTTAATCCCCAGTAACCTGCCCCTCCACCACACACACACCCAAAAGGACAGCCATGCAATTTGGGGTAGGCAACAGCCACGTCAGCCATCACTGATCCCCATCTCCTGGTATTCACAGCCTTGGTCACCCTGAGTTTTAGCTGGATTTACTGTCTTGCTTCTAGCAAACAGAAGTGACAGGATATTGCTTCCAGTATTAGTTTTTTAAAAGCTGGCTCTTGTCAGGTGTGTTTCTTTTCCTTGCTCCATAAGGAAAGCTAGATGCTGTGCTGCAAGCCACCCTATAGAGACGTACGTACCCCACAGCCAGCAGCGACACAAGGCCTGCCAGTGGTCCACGAGAGCTTAGAAATGACCTTCCCTCAGCTAAGCCTCAAGAGCCTTGCAGCTTGGCCAATACCTTGGTTGCAGCTTTTTGAGATTGCCAGAGACACTTGGTGTAGCCTCACCCAGATATCTAACTTGGACAGTTACTTAATGTTGTCAAGCTGCAAAGGTTTGGAGCAGTTTGTTACACAGCAATAGATAACTAATACACAACCATATCCCAGTTTTGTCTGTGTCAAAAGGTTTCCTGACCACTGGAACTGTGGGAGGGAAGTCATTGTTTAGTAACTATCCAAATCCCTGCCTTTGAGATACCCCTGACACATTTGCCCAGAAACCCTTAACTTGTTGAAACCTTGAATTGGATCTTGGGCCTAGAATTCAAAGAAGTAAAATTGTTAGGAAAAGTCTGGAAGTAGAAACTGGGACCTGTTGTAGAGACTTAGGTCAGGGATCCAAGGGAGGTCTTCCTGGAAACTGTGGCCCTTGTTACAGGGGAATCTCAGTTACCTGCTCCTGGCCACCAGAGACAGAAGCACTTGGAGGTATTTAAACTTTAATAGTCAAGTTAAACATGTAAAATGCTTAATATGATCTCTGGAAAGCAGTATTTCATTCACTGGGAATAAGTTGCACATGAGGAATAGGGTTGCCGAGCAGTAGCTGTGAGACTTTCGTGGAAGCTCTAGATTCTTGGGTTGCTTGAATCACAGAGAACCCCTGCCAGAGGGAGAGTGGGATCCTGAGTTTCCCTTGCCGTGAACATTATTCCTTACAGTCATCAGTGAACGTTGACAACCAAAGCCCGACAGCAGCTTCCACTTTGTGCTAAGACAGAGGTGTTAGGGGCCGAATATGCAGGTCACTGCTTTATCGCTCATGACCTGTCACCCTCCCCAACGATGACTCAAAATACTTAAGATGGTAAGCTCCAAACAAGTCACACTGCATTTAGCATCAATTATGTGTAGACTTAACTCGAAGAAAAGCATGAGTGGAAATTCCATAGAAAGTGAGCAACATCTCTGAAGATGTAACAACTAAGCCTTCAAGATGCTATGAAGATTTAGTGACGTGTTAAATTTAAACTTGGGTCAAAGTGTTTGCTTTCACTAAAAATTATTTTAAAGAACTTTTTTAGCTTTATTTGCTGTCTTGACAAGAAACAAGGTTCAATTTTTAATCTTTAAATTGATGCTTGTGATCTAGATTTCAGCTTTAAAAATAACATCTTTTCAACCAGGGATGCTGGCTCTGACCTTTAATCCCAGCACCTGCGAGGCAGAGACTGGCAGATCTCTGTGAGACTAAGGCTATCTTGGTCTGCATAATGAGCTCCAGGCCAGATGAAGCTACAGAGTCCCTCTTTTCTCTAGAGTCTGGACCCTGGAACAGATGACCAAGTCTGATGACTTGCCAGCTGGCAGCTTCCCTCAGTTTTACATCAAGTACAAAGGACATTATAATGGGCCTATCAAAAGGGGGCCCTGGGGTTAACTATAGTGGCTAAGGCACCTTCACCATGTATAGAACTCAAAGTTCAGACCCAACTTTAAGGCTTTGCACTTTGTATTTCTGAGTCAAAAACCACTTTATTTTTCAGTAAAGCAAAAGATTTTCTCTACTGACTTGAAGAGCTCTGGAATTTTATTTGCAGAGCCTCTACTTCTACATAGTAAGTCTCTCAAAAAGAGACTCCCTCTGGATTCCTCTGACCATGTCCTGTACACCACAGTTGATAGTCTTCCTTAGCAGTTGTCACAGAAAGGGAACATTTCTACCTGGACTTTTACTACAGTGAAAACAAGGCCAGAGAAACACTATACCCTGTGTGTGAGCTTTGGTTACTCGGCATCCATGAAGAATAATAACTCTGCTGTGGTTTCGGTACAGCTTTCTAAAGGTGCTGCTGAAGGAAGTCACTCCCCTCCTGTGTACCTGTCATCTGAGGCCCCATCCCATCATCTGATCCAGGCAGCCCCAGTCCTGCTCACACTATCTGAATTCTGTACCTAACACATCACATCGGTCTAATATTCTTATTTGCTCTTTCTTTTCTTTCCTACCTAATACATTGTAAGCTCCTTGAAGGACCAGACCTTGCCTTTGCCTACAGGAATGCCTGGCATCTAGTGGTTCCTCAACAAATATTTATTTGGTAACTTAGTGCATTTGAAGTTTCACTCCTGTCTGGCCCTCCCCATGCCATGTACAACCCGGGGGCCCCAAAACAGATTAACAGGGGACGAGAGAATAAGGGAAGCCAACTGACCCTCGGATCGGATCCACAGTGATGGCTCGAGGATTCACCAGATCGGTGTGGAAGAGGACCTTGCGCTCAGAGCCATCCAGCCTGGCCCTCTCGATCTTATCCAGGCCACTGTCTGTCCAGTACATTGTTCTACGGAAGTGGTCAACGGCAAGTCCTTCGGGGCTTATCAGACCTAGAAATAAAGGCAGGGAGGGGATATTCGCAGGATGTGAACACCAGTAAGAACCCAAAGCAAGAGTCTTCTAAGTTCTAGACACCAAGGCTAACACGAGAACCAATCTTTTTGTTAACTCTTCAGTTACACCTGGTCTCTTCTGTACTAAGACGCCCTGGCTTCCTGATAGCACCTGGCTCCCACTGTGCTGAAAATAGGTGAGATAAATCATCACCACACCCTGAGTTCTTGCTGTGAGCCACTTCTTTTGAGGATGGCTCATCTTATCCTAAAAGTCACCTTTTCATTCCTTTCATGTAAATGGGTTTGTTTACAGAGGGCCAGACTTGTGCAGCTCAAAAGGACTTGTATAGAACTTAACCTTCCCTTTTAGATAAAAACAGAAGAAACCAGCAGGATGGCCAGTGGCTTAGTAAAATGAAATGAATTGCCAAGTGTCTGTGGAATGATGCTTCTGACCTGAATTGATGATAGTCTCGGGCTCTGCTCCTGGTTCCAAGCTAGCACGGCTGATGGTTCGTCCAGCAACATCTGTCCAGTACACCATCTTCTCCCGACAGTCGTAGTCAATCCCCACAACTATGGAGCCCTTTGAGGACCAATCATGAAATTAGAATTAGGATTCCTTGATTTCCTATTCTTTACCCCAGCCTCATGTCTATGCATTGCTGCAGGGAGGAACCGACCACTGTGGTGGTGTAGGCAGTGGATCCCAGTGGTCAGACACATGGGCAGTGGAGGCATCCCTTTTCCTGGAGTCAAAGCCACTTAACCCCTGCTTTCCTTTCTTCAAGCCATACCTATTCTATGTGCTGCTATAAAACTTCAAACTGTAAAATGCTTATAAAGTGTCCTGATAGGTAACTGCCATACTGTAAGCCCCTCAAGTGCTATTATCATTGGCAGTAAAAATGGTAATGTCATGAGAAAAATCAGCTCCTTCACTGATTGAAGATAGTCTCAATGAAGTCCTTGATATTTAATGAAGCAAAAGCTGAATGCTTCCAAATGCCACTGGCATTTTCTGAAAGAGCCTTTCTAAAATTTGCCAACATTTGCCAACAAAATTACACTCTCCTGCTGGGTGAATAAGCTAAGATCCTCTCTGGCCTGAGGTGCAATCACTCCTATATCTCAATCTAAGCCTTCAGCTGCAGTTTATCACAGAGAGTCTACAGTTTGATGGGTTAAGGAAACGGAACTAACTGCGGTCACCCAAGCTTAGGTCCCTTCCTTATTGCTGAGTACCGGCCTCTTTTCAATATGCCAAAGCTGTGATATTCCTTGCCTGCACTCCACACAGGACCTGCTTCATTATATTTCTAACCCAGATTCGTGCTGAGAAGCCCAGCAGATGTGCAGAGGCAGTATGGAGAGGCCAGCTGGCTGTCCCCCGATCACACCAGTTCCCGCCTCGCCTAACAAAGCCTGCTGCGGCTTGGCTTGCCTCATTCCTCCAAGGCAGTAGTTAGCACAAGACACTGTACGAAGAAAAGACACTTTCTGCAGAAAAGCTGGGTTCATATAGGGGTACCTAAGGGCTACACTACTTTTCCTCAAGAATCAAAATTAAAGAGCTCTTTGTCCGAGTCTTGAGCGCACATTCATACTGCTTCAACGAGCTCAGGAACTCATGGGATTCATAAACCAAGTTTCTTGGTGGAAAAGTCCCAGTTTAAGTAAATTGCCTTAAAGTGGGCTTGGAATGCATGTCCCATTTCTCCTTCAGTTCCACCATAACCATATCTACCCTACTCATGAGAGACATGTTCAGAAAAGCAATCAAGCAAGTCATCCAACATTGCTAGAAAAAAGATGGTTAGCGTGAGGAAACGTCCTTAAACCAGCACATGTGAGGATGCTGGAGGGGGAAAAAGGCTTGAATTCTAAAAAAAGAAGAAAAAGACCACATTTTTTTCCTGAACACCGCTTTTAAGCTATTTGGGAATCAAAGAGTAGTTCATTAACTGAAGTAAATATAAACAGAACACCGCCCTATTTCTCATGGATGAGCAAGTACCTCAATGTGAAGTTGGAACTAGAACCAGACCAGTTTCCATCGTAGGTGCCAATGCCGTCTATCCCCCTCCCTTTAAAGTAGCACTCTCTCTTCCTCACATGGGGTGCCTTGCTGGCTCAGGACAATAAGCAGGCCCTTGGGGGGCTCCAGCTACTCCATTCCCAGCAGCAAGCATCCACTCCCCAAATCCTCATTATGGATGAAGAATAGAAGAGAAGGGAGTCGACATGACCAAAATAGAAGGAGGCTTGCTACAGAGAGGCAGTCCTGAGGGGATTTTCCCAGCAGCGTCTCCAATGACCACAAAAACCATCTCCTGGCCTTTTGATCTCCAAGATATCTGTGACCTGGATGGAACCTTAGCAATGGTCATCTCCAGTTCCCCTGTAGACAGCCTCAACATCCTGACGACCCTGAAGTTCCCTTGCCATTTATCTAAACTGTCATGAGCCCACAGGAGAACAGCTGAGGTCAGTGAGACACAATTTCCAACCACAGAGCCCCATGGAAACACTGCAGTCTAGAAGCGAACTAGCATTCCCTGCACTGCAGTTCCCTGCTCTGTGGCACCAGGCTGAGAAGCCTTCAGAAAGCCACAAAGCACAGCTCCTCCACATCCCTCCTCCCCCCAACCCCACCCCTCACCCCAGGCTCAACCCCCCACACACAGCCCGGCCGGCACAAGCAGTCCAGCCCCCTGGAGAAATCCACTTTACATGCAGTGACAGCAGAGTCTTGGCAGCATCCTTCTGCAGCCTGCTGCCATTGAGGGGCAAATGGCCAATCTGCTGGCCCTGGGCATAGAGCAGGAAGGTGCCCACGGAAGGAGGGGTCACATCAGGCCGAGGTGTGGGCCGGACCGTGGGTGGAGCTACTGTGGGTATACCTGTCAGTGGGAAAGAGAGAGAAGGGATGAGAAGTGAGAAGGGAAATAAGGGCACATGGAGGGGGCCTCCAAAACGATCAAAAGTTCTTTACCCAACAGATGTGCTCCAGATGTTCTTCAAAAAAAAATTCTGATTTCTAAGGTTTTTTCAAGGATTTTGTAAATCACTGCCAATGACTAAGGAGGAAGACTACAAACACTTGCTTCCAAACAAAGCCTTTTTTTTTTTTTTTTTTGCTGTTTGTAAGTTTTGGAAGATTAAAACCTCTTTGGGGCCAAGGGTAGCTCACTCCCCTTTCACCTAGGGCTGGGGGGGCAAAGTAACCACATGCTGAACTGAGTGCCAGCTGTTCTAATGACAGAAACTGCCAAACCAACATCAAATCCAAATTGGGATCCTGAAGTGCCCAGATGATAAATCAACCCAGCACAATGCTGTGCTGACTTTGTCCCTCAGACTTGGTGAGGAACCTGGTCCCCACCCTGTCCAGAGCAAGAGAGAACCCTCCAAGGGTTGAGGAGAGTGTGCTGCTGAATGTGGTGCCACACGGGCGCTCCGTGCTTACATGCGGGTGTGGTGCCTGGTTGTGAGCGAGTGCCCTGCAGCTCTCTGCCATCTTTGTCCACACACCAGCAGAAGTCACTCTTCCCATGGCACTGCAGGGGAGTGAAATGGCCCAGGTCATCACACTGAGGCACATACTGGTCATCCTTGGGTGCACCCCCATAGTGTTCCAGCAGACTTTCTCTCCAGCGTTCACAGACGGTCCGAGGCCTCTGGGTGGGCGCTAAGCAGATGGAGAAAGAAACTTGGATTGTCAGCCAAGGTCAGTACAGTTCCAGATCCCCACTCTGACCTCCTGGACTTCCTCCTGTCCAGTAACAAAGCCTCAGCCAAGCCCCTGGATACTGGGCTAGGGAAGCACAGGTCTTCTCAGAAGTTCTTTGTGGGACTCCAGAGAAGAAACCACCACACCACGATGCTCCTGTTTCCTCAGGACTGGCTACATCAGCAGAGAACAAGGGGAGGCAAGATCTTCAATATAGTTCCCTCAGCCTGGGGATGGGGACGATCTCACTCAGGCCATTAGAGATCTACATGGACATCTGGCCTGTGCCCAGCACTCCTCTGCTGACAGGGGACTATGCAGACTATCTTTGGGGACTCAGTGGCCTATGTGATACTTAAAAACAATTATTCCTTCCCACCTTCTTCAAGCTCTAGGACCTGCTGATAAGATAGCCATGTCACGCCTGCCCTGTGGGTATCACAGAAGAAACAGCTGAAGGCCAGGCTGTACCCTGTGTAGCACTCAGTATCCCTGGAGAGTGCCACTGATTAAAAATAAAACAAGAGTAGTAGTGTGAAGAACATAGCACAGGTCACCCCATTCCTGGAACTATCTCGAAGCTGAACCTTTGCAGCAAGCTCTAGCTTTCTATGGCAATGTTGTTTCCTCTGTGTTTTCCAACATTCCCCCTACCCCAATTGTATGGTTCACACCATGATTCCTGTCCTGCTGGCTTCTAAAGTTCAGCAGTTCCCTCCCAGACTGCTGCACCAGGGCTACGGAGGCTCTGTCCCAACCACACGGTTGTGTCTACAAAGACTCCATTGGCAGTTGTTGAAATCACTTGTTCATAGAGGTTGGAGTGTCTAAAGGAGTGTAAATAAGAGGCACCCCAGTTCCTTCTTAAGTTCATCAACTCAGAGTCTATGGTCTGCAGAATCAAACACCCCATCATCTCTTTGCTACCACCATCTGGATGCATAATAGAAATCTCAGCATAAAAGTAACAAAAAGCAAGGCTCCTGCTTTCCTCAAATAAGCTTCTCCCTTTGGGTACTGGTAAGCAGCATTTGCCTCTCTCCACTGCTCAGACACAATCACCCTACAGCTGCTTTCTCTCACTCTTTATGTCTCATATGTCAAAAAGATCTCATCAGTTTTACCTCCAAAAACATTCACACTATTTTGACTTCTTGTCAACTCCCCAACCCCACCCCGGTGTCAACTTGGTTTAGGGCATCATCTCACACTGGGATCATAGCAACAGCCCTCTGACTGTCTTTCCTGTTCCCACCCTCCTGTGCCCTCCCTCCCCAAACCAGTGTATGCTCTGCCAGTAGCCACAATGGTCCGTTAAAAACCCAAAGGCATCTTAGTCCACTCTCTTCTGCTCAAAATCCTCCAAAAGAATAAAGCTAGGGACATCATAACAAGGCTGCAGGAGGACCAGTCCTCTGAGAAGGCAGGGAGATATGAATCAATCCCCAATCTCAAACCCAGCAAGCCCACTAGAGACTCAGAAGCCAAGAAGTGGCTTCCCCTCAATCTACTATACATGGGCCACAGGAAACAAAGGAGATGAAAGCAGGACTCTGACCTGCTCAAACCAGAATGGCTCAAGGACCAGGAGAGGGGAGCGCTACTTCACGGTAGGATATGCTGGGGAAGACACCAGCATGACCTCTCCTGTTTCAAGGGCCCACCCAACATGAATGTCTTCGGGTGTTTCCAGGAAACAGATCTCAAATCACTCACAGGTGGACAGCTACTTCATTTGACGCTACTTCTTCCAACCACAGATTTATTGCTCCCCTACTCTGATTGGCAAAGGTTCAAATAGAGTGTGCTTGCCCCCCTCCAACTGAACCCATTATGCAGATGAGACTAGTCAAAGATGACAGCCAGGGCCAAGCAGTGGTAGGCAAGAAGTCTGGACCATGAAAGTCTATACAAAAGAACATGCCCTCATTTTATTCATTCACATCTCAGCTATAGAGAGAGGGTGATTAAGAGGATCGCTGTGAATCACAGCACTACCAATTTTTACCTATATGAGTCTTAGAAATATTAAAGTCTTGGCCATGTCACGAATGTTAAATAATCAAAACTGGAGGGCTTGGAGATAGGGCTGGGCAGTCAAGAACAATAGCTGCTCTGGCAGAGGACCCAGTTTTGATTCTTATCACTTACATGGCAGCTTATAACCATTTGTAACTCCAGTTCCAGGGGATCTGATGCCCTCCTCAGACCTCCTGGGGCACCAGGCATACATACATATATGCAGGCAAATACTCATATACACATAATAAAAATAAATAAATCCTTAAAAAAGCAAAAGGATCAAAACTATTGGAAATCCTCCAGCTCTATTTCCCTCACACATTAAAAGCTAAGACTTGCAGTCCTTCTCAGAAGTAAAAATAAACCTTTGAATACCAAGCTCCCAGATATGAGAAGCATTTAGGCTAAAGCAGTTTCAAATGTTGCTCATCTCTGAATAATTTCTCCACCTGCAATTGACATCAACTGTGAGCATCCCATTGTGCCTCAATCTGACAGGGAGCACTCACATGATAATGCCGTGCTTGCCATAAGCACCCCAGATCATATGAAGAGATTCCTGTACCTCCTATAAAGGGAGCTGTGGCAAGAGGGCCTCCCCATTGCTATGTTGGGTTGACTAGAAAGGGGCAGGGTCATTGGGATAAAAGAATCTGCTCATGTGTCTCACACCTGTTTTTCCTATTGATATTAACAGTCTTTAGACTGCTTTCTGCAGTTGAGACATTACCTAGAAAGGCAGTTTTGCTTTTAGATAAAAGGCTAGTCTATCAAAGTCCTCTAGCTTTCTCCGGCCTCCCACAGTGGGTAACAGCCTGACCTAGACACTCAACTTCCAGCCAGTACCCATGAAGGATCTAAACAGCTGGAGTTCAATGTGTAGCAGAGATCCCATGTCATGTGTGTATCTATATGTCCCTATGAAATGAACTGCACAAAGGTGTATCATATCGTCCAAATATTCATTAGCAGAAAGAACCTAAGAGATGGCAGCCAGCCAGACCCAGGTCTGCTCACTCCAGGCCCACGCTGGCACAAAGTTCCTTTCTTGGAAGACTCACCTGGTGGTGGTCCGCAGTGGGGAGGAGTAGAGCCAGGTGGAGTCTGGGTGCCAGGGACTTCGTGGCCATTAGGGTCCACACACCAGCAGAAGCCAGTGCTGCCATGGCACTGCAGTGGCAGGAAGTTGCCCTGGTCATCACACTGGGGGATGTGGAGTCTGGACCCCGGGTAGGCGTGCTGTGCCTGAGCATAGCGGTGCTGGTGTTCACAGGGTTTCAGTCCTGTTATGGAGCCTCCTGGAACCACGGCTGAGGAAGACACAAAGGAGAAATGAAAGGTATTGTAATCCGCTTATGCTAAACAGCCACCAGAAAGCCTCCTGTACTGAAATTCTTTCCTAAATTGGAAGACACCATGACATGGGGAAAGAGCAAGGCACTGGGAGTCCTGGATTCTTGTTTTAGCTTTGCCACTATCTACTTTGTTGTGCCTAATTCCCTCAGTTCACCCTGTACATCTCTAGATAAATATAAATGTAAGGTAGCCCAGTACCTTCTCCAGCCCTCAAAGGCCTATTACCATCTGGGTGAAATAAAGAACAACCTATGGCGTCTACCCAACATTCCAAGGGACTTTGGAGAGAACAAGTCAGTCAACTAGCTCGATCCAACCCTTGGGAGCCAAAGTTTAAGTGTGAGAAGCCCTGAGTCAATGGCAGTCACACTACTCCGTGCTGGCCAAGTTCCCCGAAAGCAGTCACCATGGGTATTGACTGCTGGCTCACTAGTGTGTGTGGCTCCTACTTAATACTTCTCAGTATTTCCGCCAAATGACATTCAAGACAAAGGACATCTCTGGGGCAGTTGATCAGAGCCACTGCAAGATAGGATGAATGACAGACATGATCCAAGAAGTTCAAGTGCCAACTAGCACCTGAGGTATACAGCAGGCGGCACCAGAGGGGATATTCAGACAATGGAGAATCCACCCTCCAAGGCCCCGGACAAAGCTCCAAGAGTGGGCTGAAAAGAAAATAAAAGGGAAGGGGCTAGGAAATTCCATGCTTAATCAGGTCCTCTGTTGCTTACCCGATGTGCATTGAAACCCATCCCCATGGTATCCAGGTTGGCAATGACAGGAGAAGGATCCAGGGGTATTGTAGCAGGCAGCTGCTGGATGACATCTGTTTTCCACACATTCATCAACATCTTCAGAGGTCAGGAACAGGCACAAGAGAGGGGGAAAGGAAGGAAGGAAGACATGACTTCACTGCACACAATTTGTGACTACATAGTCTTAGTACACCTATCCTAACAAGTTACCAACTTTAGAATATCTCTTGGTCTAAACTGAAAAATGCTAAGATCTAAGAGGAAGATTAACAGAAAAAACACATCCAGGAGCATGTGAGTTAACATATGAGACCAAGAATGCTCAGGGTAGAACTCTAACGTGTGCGCACACACACACACAGAAAAATATCCTGTCCTACATTTCTAGAGTGTCTTTCCTCTTCGGTGAATTCTAGGAAGCTATTACCTTTGAACTACTAACCTTAGACTATAAATCACCAATTTCCTTTTAGTAATGCTACACAAAAGATAAATATAGGTAACAATAGTTTTTTCCTTTCTTTTCGTGGTGCCAAGAACCCTACTTTTGTAGGCATATGAAGGAGCCAGCCGAGGCTCCAAACAGTTCTGCTAATTTAGAAACATCTTCAGTCCTGCCTAAAACTTCCAATTAGCCAGAAAGTTACTTTACTTTCCACTTTTACATAAGGAGAGAAAAAAGAAGAAATATTAGTACTTTTGAAACACACACACACACACACACAAAGGATGAGCTCAGGCCCCTACACTCCCCTCATGGCTCTCTGACAATTTTCACAATCACAGTTCTCAAAACTGCAAAACCACAACACCTTGAACAAAAGTCAATCCCTACCCCTTTTTATTTCACTGATTGACGTTGGCCCATGCTGACAATAGCAAGTCACCTACTTTTTCCCATTCCCGCCTCAAAACCTCAAGAAATTCCGAGAGTGGATCTGCTAAGCCCCGGCCCAGTGGATGAGGTAAGCTGGAAAAGGAGAAGAAGTCTTCCAGAGTAAAAGGATAGTAAACAAAGGGCACAGGTCTGATCTAGGTTTGACCCCAAATAAAAATGTGAGTCATAGCCACAATAACCACGAGAATTGTTTGTAATGTACGAACAGAAAAAAAACAGGATGACGGCATGAAGCCTAGAAAACGAGAATGGGCTGTGCCAGCCCACGGCAGACACACACCAGCTTTTGAAGCCAGAGGTTTGCTAGCTGGAGTTGATGTAAACGGACTGGAAATAGGGAGGCTCTGTGGAGTGGCAGACCACACTCTCCAGAGATACCTCCTATAGCTGAGGGGCTTTCTTGGGTACCACTAAGCAACCTGTGCATCATACACAGGCATTCTATTCCTAGAACAGGAATCTCTTGTACTGCATTTAGCGTAAGATGTCTGCTTATCCTCTGCCTTGCCTAAAAACCCTGAGTGCTCCACAAGACCAAGTCTAATTCCACCTAGACAAACAGCTGGCCTTCCTGGTTACCTTCACTTCACCTCCTATGAGGTTAAGAAAGTGGTTATTTAAACAAAGCATCCTGGTTAGCAACTCGGTTACTAAAATACATGCTAACATCTTGATCCTTTGTAGCATGTGCTATCTCTTCCGAGGACAGCTCAAGTGCCCAGATGGGTGAAGAGGTGGTGGCTGTCCAGCTCCTTGAGCCTAGAAGGGGCTGTAAAACTTACTGCAGAACCAAAGCTATAAAAGTCTATATCCAGGGGCTGGAGAGATGGCTCAGCGGCTAAAAACACTGGCTGTTCTTGCAGAAGACCTGGGTTCAAATCCCAGCACCCACAAGGCAGCTAACAACTGTCCGTAGCTCCAATTCCAGGGGATCCCACAGCCCCTTCTGTCCTCCCTGGGCATTGCACGACATGGGTGCACCATGCAGGTAATACACGCATACACATAAAATAAAAATAATAAATAAAATATATTTTAAAAAATTTTTTTAAAGTTTATATCTCAGCCGGGCGTGGTGGCGCATGCCTTTAATCCCAAGACTCAGGAGGCAGAGGCAGGTGGATCTCTGTGAGCCTGGTCTACACAGTGAGTTCCAGGACAGCTGGGGCTACAGGGAGACCCCGTCTCAAAGAGACAAAAAAAAAAAAGTTAATATCTCGCCAAATACAGGAAATTAAAGCTACTGACAGTGCATCCCTTAAAATCCCACTTCCAGTGGCAACAGGAACCCCAAGCAATGACAGGAAGCAGGAATTCCTGAGACATGAGGCCAATTTCTCAACCCCAGGGAGTAGTTTCTTATGCTATTTTTGAATTAAGGGAGAGGGGATCCCCCAAAGCTGCTAAGCCTCTGGTGTTATTAAAGCTCTCACCTAAGGATTCTGATCAAACCTGAAACACAGCAGTCCTCCCCAGGCTGCTGTTGCATGGATACCATGGTGATAGCAGAGAGTAATTGTTAGAAAGGATCAGCAAGTACAAAAAAAGCCCTTGATGAGGCTTAGGATGTGACACGTGAGGAATCCCTGGCCCACAGAGCTGGAGTTATCGAATTCTACCAGAATGGCAGTCCCTGACTCCTCCTTGGAAGGCCTCCATGATGGACAACTAGAGGCCAGGCAGCAGCTCCAGGGCTTGAGTTCAGAGCTGGCTATAGCCTCTCTTCAGGAACATAAACACCAACGGGTTTGCAGGAAGTCAGAGGCCATTTCACAGGATGTATCAGCCCCTTGACAACACAGGAGCATCACTGGGGTTGGGGGTCACTGACAATACTTAGTCAATGACAGGCATGTCCAGGGGCCGACGGAAAACTTGGACAGAGAAGCAAGAGAGTCCCTTACCACCAAGGCAAGGAAAGGCAGCTCAATTCCAGCACAGTCTACTTCTCCATCATCTCTCTATTAAGCACCTCAAGAACCTGGTAGGAAAACCTGTTTAGAACCCTCAGTTTGGAATGCACGCTTTGATGCTTCAACTTCCCCTTCTGCCCTAATTCTCAACAGAACCAGCTGGAAGTCCTTGGAAACAAATTCAGCCACTGAATGATTCATTTGCTTTCCAGCCCAGTGTAATTCTCTGGTTCAGATTAACCTCTACACCACCCAGAACCCTAGTAAATGCTTTGGTCTGTAGGCCCTTACTCCCTCTCTGTTCCCTACCTGTCTAATAACACACATAGGCTCTGCAATTCCTGTCTGTGTAGCTGGGTGATCTCCCTCAGCACCTGTGAGCATAATAAACATCCTTCCTTCTATTGTCAAAACCACTTGACCATGTTTCACCCAGCAGCAACACTTAGAGCACAGAAAACCTGCATTTAACATCAGTACCACCACTTATCCCCCTCCAGAGTGAGGGTGTAGCAGGCCCTCTCCACCCAGCTTCCTGGACTCACATTTGCTCTTCATCAAGACAGTCTGATCTGCTAGCAAAGTCACCCAGATCCCTGAGGACAACATGCATGAGAATCCAGCTCCACGAGCACAGGGTGCAATCACTCCAAATGGAGGGAAGGTGGAGAAAACGTAACTCTATTTGAATCAAAGCCTCCTTCAAGTGACTCAAACCAGACTGAGAACCCAAATCCAATTGTGGCCTCACCAGGGAGCCTGTTTCTCAACAAACCGTAGTTGGAGGAAAACCCACACATCCTCTTATGGTTAGTCTGAGTAAAAATGTGTGTCTCAAAATTGCACACTTCCCACAACACAGAGCCTCCATCAAGGGTCCTTTGTTCACAGACACGAATGCTATAAAACACCTTTGACTATGAATGCATATGCACTTATATCTGACATGATATAGGTTTATTCTGCAAGTTACTTCCATGATTAGCCCAGTCTAATTTACGTGGTCCCTAACGACCTCTACCTCGTGATATGCATAGTTGTTTCATACAATCTTTCCCCTTAGAAACTTGCTTGTAACCAATATAGTAAAGCAACACTATGAACATCTTTGAGATGATGACTTCCATCTTGCTTGAAGACTTCTCAGTGGCCTTAATAAAGCAAGCTGCTATGCCGGAGAGGACAAAGGGCACAACATCTAGCAAGGGGCCGAGGCTCTTGGTCTAACAGTCCTAATGCCTCTCCAAACCAGGAAAGGCTCCTTCCCCAGTGAAGTCTTCAGATGACCCTTGCCTGAAGCCTCACTAAGAGTCCTAAGACAGCACCTGCTGAGCTGTGCCGGGATCCTTTCAGGGTGCAGATAGGTCTTGTTTGGAGCTGCAAAATTTGGGGTCATTTGTTTCCAGCAATTAATATTCTTGGGAAGTAATTCATGGCTTTGGTGTATTTAATTTGTTGGTTTCAGAGATAAAATAGAGACAATTGAAAATGTCAAAGTAAGGAGGACAAAAATTACAAAACACTGTGACTCTGAACATGCCAAAGTAGCTAACTTCATATGATCTCAGAAAGAAACCAAAGTCATAAAGGACAAGTGGGAGCAAAGAGAGAAAATGATTCCAGAAAAGATTAAAGCAAGAAGCATCTAACCTAAATTAACACTCTGATTATCAAGTCATCAACACCTAGGCTGAGACTAATTTCAATTACTTTACATGAAATGAAGAGCAAAGGAATTAAATACCTTAAAAGCATCATTTCTACTGACCTGAGCAGACAGATGTTTAAATACGAAATTCTACAGGCAAGTTATCTGTTCCATATGCCGCTCGTTTCTCACAGACAGGTGGAAGTGGGATAAACCAAGGTACATTCCACAAAGGTAGAAAAAGTGGTACTCCAGATAGGCTCCTCTCTCTCTCTCTCTCTCTCTCTCTCTCTCTAATATAGGTTATTCAGAATAGCTACATGAACTCGTAAAAGTTTTCTACATCTACCCCATGATATATGATCACACTGAAAGTTTCACAAAACACACACAGACATGGTATAACAAAACCCAGGATGAGAACATTTGGAATAGGAAAGATCTTCTTTAGGAACTGAAATCTAAAACGAAGTCTTTTCTCCTTTTTTTTAATTGCTTTCTGCATCTGCCATGATTACCTGGGCCCTCCAGATGTGCTAAGACAGCCTGGCAACCCTTGGGCTTCATGACAGATCTAAATAGCATGCCCCCACCCCACCATCTCTTCAGATGTTTGACAGGGCATGAGAGAACTTAGAAAGAGTTGTATGTGTGAATATCTCCAGCCTACACTAGCTTCAAGGAACAGGTCAAACACTCCAGGGACATCTCCTCTGAAGACAACCATAGGTGATCACTGGTCCAGTGCCAGGGGCTCACCCTTGGCCTCTTCTTCTGACCCAAAGGATACCTTCTCTCTTGACAATTCCACGGCTGGGTCAAAGGAGAGGAAAGGTCATATCTCTGTGAGGATGTGCACTTATAGGGACCATACAGAGTCTCAGAGGACTGCCCACAGGTACTCACCAGAACACTGATGCCCAGTGCCAACATAGCCTGGCAGACAGGCACAACTGAATGAGCTGCCTCCATGGGGAATGCACCAGGCCTGCCCCTCAGGAGCACACGTATGACTGCCATCCTCACAGGGGTTGGGAGGTGGAGTAACCACTGAAAAGAAAGTGAAGATGTCAAAGGTTCAAGCCTGTGAGTGGATAAGCCTTGCTCCTCACATCTCATCGACCCATCAGCCAACCCGTCAGCATTGGCACACCTGGGGATCCTAAGGATGTATGATCCCTGGCCCTGTCCCATAGTCAATCTCAATTTAACAAGATTCCTGTGAATATGCAAATGCATATGAGTTAAGAAGTGCTAGTAAGGGTTTGTGCTTAAAATATTAGGCATGATGCCAGGCATGGTGGCGCATGCCTTTAATCCCAGCACTCGGGAGGCAGAGGCAGGCGGATCTCTGTGAGTTCAAGGCCAGCCTGGTCTACATAATGAGTTCCAGGGCAGCTGGGGCTACAGGGTTTAAAAAAAAAAAAAAAAAAAAAAAAAAAAAAAAATTAGACATGATAAGTCATCCAAACAGACCTTGATTAAAGTTTATAATTCCCCAGAGCACTGCTACACACACACACACACACACACACACACACAAACAGAGTCACTCACACAGTCATAAACACTCATACAAAGTCACACACACATATACTCACATACTCATATACATACACACTCTCATATACATATAGTCACATACACTCATACATAGTCACACACACTCATACACAGTCACATACTCTCATACACATACGGTCACACACACTCATACACAGTCACTCTCATACATGTACGGTCACACACACTCATACACAGTCACACACATACACAAGCACACATACACGGTTTCTATTACTGCTGCTACTTTGTCATCTTACTGAATATTGGAGTGTGTATTTTTCTATTATCTGCTAGTTCCATCAGTGGGATAAATTTGGAATTCTAGACCTTTTGGATCCATTCTTTAGTCTGAAGTGTTTTTCAGCCTAGAGAAGGCATATGAATTGTGGATAGGGCTCTTTGGTCCTCACACGACAGGTATCTTTTAACGTCAGTTCTCTCTAGACTTGGAGTGTTTCTAGGGAGGTTCATCCAGTAAACACAAAAAAAAAACCTAGTTGGGGCAAAACAACCATAACACACCAACAGGACTAGATTGAACTGTAGCAGGGGGTCACTTCAACACAAATCATGTTTTCAAAAAAAACCGTAAGACAGTGCTTCCATATGGCAGGAGACGAGACGTTAGTAGATTACGTGGCAGGACTCTGCTGAAGCGAGAAATGGCTTTGGTACTCACAGATGCAAGTGTGCCGGTCGTCTGCAAACTGGTAGCCACTTCGGCATTCACACCTATAGCTTCCCAGGAGGTTGATACACATTGAGTTGGGGCCACAGCGGTGGAAGCCAGAGGCACATTCGTTTACATCTAAAAAAAATAAGAACGGAAAAGTTCTGCTGAGCCAAGGGTTCCAGAGGTGAAAGGTCTGACAGCTGTTCTTCTACCTCCAGGAGGCTTCAATGAGATGTGCGGTCAGCAGTGAACCAATGGAAATGTAGGACCCCTAAGCATCAGGCACAGCTCCAAGCTGCAGACCATCCGAAGGAAGCAAAATTTGTGTCAACTCTTTCCAAGGTCAGAAATCTTTAAACGTTTTCTTTAAAACATTAGAAGGAAAATCTATAACAAAAAATTTAGGCGTGAAGAAACGTCTACTGCTGTCTTGTTTGGGATATACTAGATAAAACAATCACAAAGCCTAAATTTTAAGAAAAAATGGCTTTTTGTTTTGTTTTTCGCTTTTTGAGACAGGGTCTCCCTGTAGTCCCAGCTGGCCTGGAACTACCTATGTAAACCAAGCTGGCCTCCACCTCACAGAAACCTGCCTGCCTCTGCTTCCCAAATGCTGGGATCAAAGGCATGCATCACCCCACCTAGCTAAAACAGTTTTGTTGTTGTTGTTGTTGTTGTTTTTTCTGGTCTTTTTGAAACAGGGTTTCCCTGTAGCCCCAGCTGGCCTGGAACTCACTATGTAGACCAGGCTGCCCTTCAACTCACAGAAATCCGCCTGCTTCTGCCTCTCAAGTGCTGGGACTACAGGCATGTGCCACCAAACCCAGCTAAAACAGCTTTTTTAAAGTGAATCTAAGGCTATTTAATATAGGCTCAAAATTAATGAAAACTAAAAATACCCAAGAATTACAAAAGATGGCTCCTTTTTATAACGCCAACCCCAAAGGCCCACCTCTAAACTATCTTTTCAAACCTAGCCAGATGAGAGCTTAGTTTTCATCTAACTGCATCCAGATAAACAGCAGCTAAAATCATTGACTGGTGGACAGCCACAAAGACCATAGGTGCTTGTCATCTATAGATGTGATTCTGGAGAGGCAAAGTAAAAACAAGGGTCACATGACAGAAGCAGTGAACGTGTTTCTTACCAACACAACTCCGTCCATCTCCCTGGAACCCAGGGGCACACTCACAGGTATAGTCCACACCTGTCCCTGGGTGGCACCGTGCTGTTGTGTCACAGGTATGGCTCCCATCATAGCAAGGATTCACTGGAGCAAAGTCTGAACCCACTGAATAGGCAGAGGAAAAACACAGGCATGGTGAGGCTGCTGCAGAAGGATGGTGGGGAAGGAAGGGGTCCTTGGAGCTGACTGCATGCCCATCTGTGTTTGTGGAGCACATGGCAGCCTTGCTATGTTATTATTATCAAAGCGAGGGTGGACTACCTGTGTCTCGGATTTAAATTTCAGAGTGGCTTCCTTTTGCCTGCCCTATAGACAAGTCCTCTGGCTTTCAGTAGATGTGCAACCAGGGTAAGAAAGTATCTAGCATCACCTTTTATTTAAAAGTGCCTTTGCTCAGGCCAGGAGTGGTGGCGCACGCCTTTAATCCCAGCACTCGGAACGCAGAGGCAGGGGGATCTCTATGAGTTTAAGGCCAGCCTGGTCTACATAGTGAATTCCAGGACAGCTGGGGCTACAGGGAGACCCTGTCTCAAAAAGACCAAAAAAAAAAAAAAAAAAAAAAGGCCTTTGCTCTAGCATTTTTTGAGGATCTAGGGATAACAAAAAAAAAAAAAAAAAAAAAAAAAAAAAAAAAAAATGCCTTTGCTCTAGCATCTTCTGAGGATCTCAGGATAACACTATGTGCTAGACTGTGGTCTCCATCATGGGAAGTTTCACGTGTAAGGAAAGTGAGTGAAACATGGAGAAATTATTTGCACTCACAAGGTCAGGAAGTGGGTTGGCAAAGATTCAACCTCTAAACTGCACTCCAAGTTTGGCAATCTTACAGGAAATTTCAGTTTCTATGCATTAAACCCAATTTATAATTTTGCTTTAAAAATTGTTTTAGCTTTACTATCATTATGGGTGTATGTGTGTACATATATACATGATTTGTGTATGTGGGTGCATGCGTAGAGGTCAGAGGACAACTTAGTGGAGTTGTTTTTCTCCTTCCTTCCTTCCTTGAGTTCCAGGGACCAAACTTATCTTTACTACTGAGCCATCTCAACAGCCCCCAAAACTTGCTTTTTTAAGATTCCTAAGTTCACATGAATAGAAATGGCTTTCCCAGGACTTGCTCTTCAGGACTAACATTGCAGTGGATCCATCCACACCTGACTGTTAGCATCTGAAGTCTCCCCTAAAGAACTTCTAGACACAGTGTAACAGTGAGTGGTCAGTGAAGGTTTCCTGACAGGCACTGTTCTAAACTTCTACATTCCCCCACCCCACTCAATCCTCACAATTACATATATAGACCATGGTCAGCATTACTATCACACCTCCATTTTTAGTGCAACACAAAGAAAACGAAGTAATTTGCCTAAGCTTACCGTTAGAAGAAGCAGAGAGAATCATAATTAGATCAAAATTCAAACACTCATGTTGGGGCCTGTGCTGCCCACCTTTCTCAGCTGAAACCCTAACTAGAGGAACTTCAAAAGTTATCTAAGCCAAAAGTTCAGAGAGCAGGAGTGAATTCCAGCCAATGACTCCATTAACTTTGTCTTCCTGCTTACTTTTGATTCCTTAGTTGCAAAATGCAAATAAAACAACTTACATCTGCCAGAACTTCTTTTAGAATTGGGACACAATATATTTCCAGGGTGATGATCCTACCAGCAGGTCTGGCAGCTCCCATGGACTGCACCCTTCCTCCTCAGTGTGACCACTCTTCATCCTCATCTGAGGTTTTTGCTTTGCCTCAATCATCTTGAATTCTAATCTTAGACAGAAAAGGCTTCAAGAGCCCCAACTACTGAAGGTCCCTGTTGGGCTCTACTCTGAGTCATTTCTGCTACTGCAGGGCTCCTGGCAAGCTATAACTGCAGTCTCTGCCTTGTGTGCCTATGTCCAAGCCCCGTCTTGGCAGGCAGGTTAGCATGCCCCAAGTCCAACCAGAGTGGTTTTCTCACTCTATTAGAGGTCAGAATCATAGCATATTAGATGCCTATCATAGCATAGTAGATGCCTCTGCAGGGCCACTTCCTCCCAGATTCTCTGTCACTTCTAGTTCACCCAGTGTCTCCTCAATCACCTTATGCTCAGATTTACCCAAAGTAGCCTCTGGTCTGCTCCCCAAGTGCTCTGCTGCACGGGCTGGGCTTCTTGCCAGTCCTTGGGACTTCTGACCACCTCCCTAGCACTTTAGCCTCCCAGCTGCCCAAGTTACAGCTCTGGGTTTTTTCTAGGTTTACTGTAAATTGAGATACCTTGGCTCAGATTGCCTCGCTTTTCGGTAAACTTATCATCCACTTCATAAGAAACATCACAGTGGGGTCGTGCAGCAGAGCAGTCATTATTAACTCCCCTATTACTGCCGGAAAACCAGGAGGGTGCTGGTTTTGTCCTTGGTTCACCTCAAGGCTGAAGTAACAGTATCTTTGCCAAAGCAAAAGCCCAACAAATGGCCCAGTACATTTCAAAACCTGATGAACTTAGGTTAGCGAATGCCTAGCTCTCCCTAAGCCATGTAGCCCCCCTGGGAAGTGTCTGGAAAGCCCAGTTAACTTGAGCATGTAGACTTGAGCAAGTTTCTGAGTCAGTCCCCAGCCAGGTTTTAACTAAAGGACAGGTTCATGTCCTCACTGAGGGTCCCATGTAAGACAAGAACCTCACTCTCTCTGCTCTTATTTCTCCATTTTAGGAGAAGATTCTGTGCAAAATGCCTGGAATAGCTTCCCAAATGGAAAAGCTATCTTCAAAATGTTTTAATTTACAAACACTAATGCTTAGCCTCTTACCCGGCTTTTTCCAGCATCAAAATTTTACCAAGTTGCATTCTGGCAAAAATTAGAACAGTCATATGGACATCAGAGCTTACCCCTCTGCTAATCATTAAAAGGGAAAAAAGAATTTTAAAGGCAGTCCAAAGGTAATCTGTAATCTTACTGTACTTACATTAGGAAGAATATGTCCATGATTACATGGTACTACCTTAAAAGGTAACTCGGTGACAGGACTAGTTAGATAATTCAGAGTCCAGCCAGGGGGAAAATGCAAAACCCCTTATTAAGAAAAATACCTTTAAAAGTTAAAAATTTAAAGTGCAGCTATTTCGGTGACAATAAACTCTAAGCCAAGTATGGAGCCCTTCTATGCCTAGACCCCTGTTCACTGAATGTGGTAATGTTTTAAGAATACATTCCTAAAACCGCTTTGCTATTCGTAACTTGTAAGCCTGCTAGCTTTCCTCCTCTCGCAGTAAGTCAAGAACAGCCGTGTCCTTCTTAAGCCATTTCACATTTCACCCTCTTAAAATACTGACTCCCTGACACAGGATCTGGAACTCATTTACTCGTTCAATCAGAGGGAAAGAATGGTTTCCTTAAAGGAGCCATCACTGGGCTTCATTGAAAGGCCCTCTGCCAAAAGTCTCCCCAGCTCCCTGAGGATGGATGGGCATCATTCCCGGGTCCTGATCTGTGACACCACAAAGGACAGCCAACTCATGCTGGAAGCTCAAACAACTGTGGGAGATGGACTCCTCTCCCTCTCTGGGATAGAAACATGCTAACTGTGACACACCTGGGAAAACCCCATGATGCCCACATCCCCCCCACAGCTGTATGGTTCACATGCCTCGAAGTCGGATGATAGTTCACTCTGGAAAAGCTAAAGACTTAACAAGCTCATGTGCAGTGAAGAGGAGAGAAAGGGGGTTTACTTCCAGATCCTTTTTTGACGTTTTTCTTTTCTTTCTCTGATTCAGATAGAAGGAATGCACTGCTGGAGTGAAGTATGGTTAAAAGCCACACAGACTCTTTGCAAGCTGGTCTATACCAGAGGCTATTGTGAAGCCATTGAAGCGCAGCGGGCTTGTGTGGGGCCCATGTGGGCTCTGTGCTCAGTGCCAGCGTTTGAGTCCTGGCCTGCCATTTACCAGCTGCCCTCCAGGGATCGAACTCAGGTTGCCAAGCCTGCACACAAGAGTGTCTACCCACAAGGTTTCTCCATGAACTTGAAGCTCACCAATCTGGCTACGGTGGCTGATCAATGAGCTCTAGGGGTCTGCTTGTGTCCCCCTCCAGCACTGCCACCTATAACTGGATGCTGCTACAAACTAGCCTCAGGCGTTGTGTTCTACTTCCTGACCTTTGGCAGTACAGTGTTCTAGAAGCTCCATTCCTGCCTGCTTCAACCTCCAGGACAGGGCCTCTGCTTAAGTCACTCATGTGGCAATCATCCACCCTCACTCATCTAATTGTTCTGAGGCTTCCTAAGAAGGACATAATATTTGCCCAATAACAAAGACACGACACTTACCTTCAACAGGGCCAATCTGATTGGTCACAGCAAACCTAAGCACACCTTCATCCTCACTGTACAGAGCAAAAACCCGGTCCACAGTCAGCTGCTGGGTGGCAGGGATGGTCTGGTGTCTGGGGGCGTGCCTGCACGCCTGGTAAGTGATGTTCTGGTGGATGCGGTATGACAATGTTTGGTTGAGAGAACCGGAAGTGAGAGCATAATCTCTGGAACTTGTGGAGGTCACGGCTGCAATGGACATTTTACGGGCAAATGGGTTAGGTTTTTCTTTAAAAAAAATATATATATATATATATATAAACCAGAAATATTCATGGGGAAGAGGAAGTTTTACAGTTTTCATCAGATTCCTGGAGCACATTCCCTTAAGAACTCCCTAAGGTTCTCTAAGAAATTTGCAAGAAATGACCTAAACTCTCCTAGAACCTGAGTAGATCCAAAGCACTGGGGCTTTGTACTGCAGCCACTACAACTGCTGCTGTCCTTACACGCCAGAAGTGTTACAAAGTGTGCCGGGTACATGCCACTCACTCACTCCTCACACAGCCCAGCAAGGTGGGCATTGACTGTGTGAGCTTAGTTAGCAGCCCAAGAGAGAGGGCTAGAATGTGGTAAGGCTGGAACTGGAACTACAAACGGCCTGACTCTACATCTCAAGATTCAAGCCACATTCCAAAGAAGTAAGTGATGCCAACACCCTGAACTTTAGTAAGTCTGCAAGGAAAGGACCAGGTTGGTCCTTTCAGACTGGGAGTTGAGCCAGGGTCCTGGTCTATTCTGAACACAGTCAAGGTCTGTGTCCCATTCTTTTCCCTGCATCTCCATTCTGGCTTCCAGCTCTCACACTATAGAAGCCAGGGGCATAGAACAGGCACAGCTCAAGCCAAATGACCAAAATGACATCAGCGACCACAGCAGCACCTTGGATGCAGCTCAGTATTACACTCACACGGGGTGTCCATCCTTTTCACATTGTGACATGATGTTGTCATCTACAAATGGAAGGGGCCCCATTCATAGCTATCCTGGGATGCATGCAGTCCATGGGTCACAGGTTGGACATACCTTGTACAATTTATCGCACCTTATGAAATGTATTAACCATGTAAGGTAATCAGAAAGAGATGCTTTTAATCGCAGGCTTTCAAGTGTTAGGTGATCTCTCTCACAGACTTTAAATGGCCAGTCCAAGTTGTAAATGAATTTTTATCTTGACTCCAAATCCCAAGTTAGTTTTACAACACTGTGCAGCATTGTTCTGTGACTTTTAAGGCAGACTGAAATCGTCAGATGAAAGAGTTACAGGAAAAATATATACTCTAATAATGTATTTCATGCCAAGGGTGGTATGTTTTATCATTTCTACTAGAAAGTAATGTGTAAAGATACTGGCATTGCTATGTAGAAGTCAGTATTCTGCTCACCTACACTACTTACACTTCCTAAAGACAAGAACAAAATAGTATTACATCATTTCGTGTTCCACACAGCTCCAGAACATTCCACACAGCTACTCATTTAACCCTCATCACTAACCTGCGAGACAGTTACCATGTCCACTTTCTAGATTTGGAAACTGGCCACACATACCTGAGTCCGAGTAATGATAAAGCTCTTTGTATGGAGTAATGTGGGCTGTGAAGTTTGCTGGGATGAAGGGCACTTGGCCTTCAATGTTGGTCTTAATGCTCAGATAGTTCTCTGGGTCAAGTCCCTCAGCAGTTTGAGTGACATGAACCCTCTCCTCTCCCGGGTAGAAAGTAACTTCCATGTCATGGATAAAGGTAGCGCCTGTGGGGTACAAAAATTCAGCACAGGCGTGACAAGAGGTCTTGCTTAAATCATTACCAGGACTGGCTAAGACACAGTGGTAGAGCAAGCGCTTGCCTAGCACATATGAAGCATAGATTCATGTAAGTAATTACTAGTATGTACTTCCTCCTCCTGATTTCTACTGCTGTTAGGGATGATGTCCAAGGAGATTCATTCATATCCAGACTCAGTCTTATCAGCTGTGGATTTCCTATTCTTCCTAAGTTCTAAATGAAAGAATCTCACTTCATCCTGCCCTGCCTCACACTCTTTCTTTTTATAGATGCCTGCATTCTGTAAGAAATAAACCCTGGAGTGTTCTTTCTGAGACTGACAGAATTATAAAAGCAAACAAGGACACACACACACACACACACACACACACACACACACACCAAACCAACAAACAAGCAAGCAAACACACGCACACACACAAAATAAACCAGGATACCCAATTAAGTTTAAATTTCAGATAAACAATAAATACATTTTTCATGTATGTCCTATGCAATATTTGGGACATACTTAAACAAACAAAAAAACATTCACTGTTTATCTGAAATGTAAACTTAACTTGGTATACTTTTGACCCAAGGTTTTATTCAAATTTTGATTAAAGGCATCATCCTTTAAACAGATACTGAGCTATACAGCGGGAGGTAGAGAAAGAACTTTTCTCATACTATTTTACACACAATAAAGGAAATAAGAGTTTCCGGGCAGGCATATGAGAAGCCAAAGAGCATCCGTACACCATGGCTATAAAAGGGAAGTCCTTTGACCAGCAGCACTGCATCTCCCAAGGGCTTGTTAGCAAAGCAGGGTCCCAGGCCCACCCCTGGCACTGTGCATTCCCACAAGCCATCCAGGTAATCTGTGTGCTGCCTAAAGTGTGGAAAGCAGGGCTGGAGAGATGGCTCAGCGGCACTGGCTGCTTTTGCATAGGACCCGAGTTCAGTTCCCAGCACCTACATGGTGGCAAACGCCTGTCTCTAACTTCAGTTTCAGGGAATTTGACACCCTCTTCTAAGTGCATTGCATGACACAAGTGCACTTATATACATGCAGGCAATACACTCATACACACAAAATATATGTAAGTGCACCCATGCCATACAACACCCATGGAGGCCAGAGGCGGGTGTTGGGGACCCTGCAACTGGAGTTACGGACAGTTGTTAACCACCATGTATGTGGGTGTTAGGAACTGAGCCTGGGTACTCTGCAAGAGCAGCCAGTGCTCTTAACCACTGAGCCACCTCTCCAGCCCCAAGAAACTTATTTTAAAGCAATGTTTTGGTATACAAATAATTTTTACTACTTAGTTAAGATGTAAGAAAGTTTGCATAACAAATGAGATGGACATGGTTGTTTATTTTTATACAAAGAATTAAATCTTAGCTGGGTATTTCATACTGCAGAAGGAGCATCTTTTAACATTTTTCAGAGCTGATGGATACATTGATCTTAGAATCATCAATGTGGAAAATGGTGCTGTACACAAATATTTTATGCAGAATGGCAGAAGTATGCTTAGGAATATCTCAGAAATTGTTGAAAATTCTGTTCAAATTCCAAGCCACAATTCATTGGATAGTTTTTCATGAAACTGAAGTCAGGAACTCAAATAGAAATTTTTTTTAAAAACAATTTTTTAATTTATTATTTTTATTTTATGTGTATGTGTGTATTGCCTGCATGTAGGTCAGTGCACCTGTGTTGTGCAATGCCTGCAGAGGTCAGAAGAGGCTGTCGGATTCCCTGGGACTGGAGTTACAGACAGTTATTAGCTGCCGTGTGGGTGCTGGGACTCGAACCTGGGTCTTCTGCAAGAACAGTCAGTGTTCTTAACCACTGAGCCATCTCTCCAGCCCCTCAAATAGAAATTTTTAAAGTCTGACATTATAACAATATAATAGAAAGATACACTAATTTGACACTTATACACTGAGAAATGATGGTAGGAAAGTATTAAAAATCTTTATCAGTAATTAAACCATTATGATTCCATAAGAGCACTGTATTATAACAAAAACACTATAATTCGTGACATAAGATAGTCTCAAGCTGGGCATGGTGGCACACACCTTTAAAATCAGCACTTGGGAGGGAGAGGCAGGTAGATCTCTGTGAGTTCGAGGCCAGGTTGGTCTACAAAGTGAGTTCTAGGCCAGCTGGGGCTACAGGGAGATCCTGTCTCACAAAAGAAAAAAAAAAAGATAGCCTCGAATCCGAGCCCAGGTAGCAAGGTGCACGTGTTATGTGTTGTGCGTTTAGAGCCAAGGCTGCAGTGAAAGCAGGAAATGTGCCGTGTGGTGGGGGGTGGGGCTACCAGAAACACCTCAGATTCATGATGTGTTTCATTTTGAATTAATTTTTGGCTACTAGGCATAAAGAAACCTTTTACTATTATCAAATTTTTAGCTACCCCACATTGTTATGCAACCTTATTTATGGTCAAGACCCACAGTTTGAGAATCTATGGCCTATATTACTGTACACTGGGGATGTGGGGCACCCCATTTTCCAGAAGTAAAATCATCTCTAGGTACCCCTTGGGTACTGTTTTCACATCCCTATTTGCAAACTGTACACAATAATTCAAAGCCTGACAAATACACTTCAACTAATTGGGATAAGAGGACACAAATGTTTCTAACTGAACCATCCTACGTATCAGAACAGCTGGGCAAACATTTAGAAGCCCAGGTATAAAAGCTCCAGGCATCAACTGAAGGAGTAGCACAGTAAAGCCTCTCCACCCTCTAGGATGTTCCACCCTCTCACCTGTGAGGCTGAAGCCATTCTCAGAGCCAGGTTTTTCCAAAGCAAAGAGCCAACCAAACAGGCCTCCGATTGGCATAACTGGGAGAAGGGCCTGGGCTGCCGGCTGTGGGATATGACTAATGGCTGTGTAGGCTCTGCCGTCGTTGCCCACAATGTAAGCATGCAGGTCCACGTCTGTGAAGTGCACGGGGGTGTGGCCCACACGGAGGTGGCCACTCACTTTCCCATTGACCCGGTGAGGTGCCCCTGAAAGATAGAAAATCCCATCAGCCTTGGCATGGGTATACACAAACAGGACAGTTCTCCCTATAATTTCCAATGTTCACTCTCACAAATCACTTTAACTTTTAATATTATTAATATTAATATTTCTTTTTCCTCAAAACAAGATCTATGTATACCCCACTCTAGCTTACAACTCACTCCATAGTCCAGGCTGGCCTTCAACTCTCAGGTCTTCTGCCTCAGCCTCTCTCCTGGCTGCTAGGATTAGAGGTACATACCACCACCACAGAAGGCAAGTCACTTCAGTGATTAACCAACCAGTTATTCATCTAGGACCCAGTCCTGTCTGTGATCTTTTCCCCCTTCCTGGCTCATTCCCCTCCCCTTCAGCTCCAAGGAGCTGGGAGGGGAACAAAGAGAAAATATCTAGTAATTCCCAAATTGGGAAATCAGTCCAAACCTACTACTCAAACGTTTACTGAACGCTTGCAAGTTGCTAGTGCTTCGATGCAAGAGATGGAGATGTACGGTCCAGCACGCAGAGCTCACAGCAGTAGCTGGAAGTGTCCCACAGCGGGGTTACACAGAACAGCCCCAGCCCCGTCAATCACCTTCTGGCAAACAGTGCTTCCCATTTCCATAAAACCTAGACTGGCAATGGCAGCAAAAGCCGGTGGTGTAGTCTGTGCAGAAGGCGTGCTGTGAGCACTGGCCGTGGTTGCGTTCGCAAGTTTCCTTGTTGGCAGCATTATATGAGAAGACTGCAAAATAAAACAAACGAGCATTAGAAAGACCAAGGGATTCCAGCGGCATCGCTGCCAAGCTTCATCGCACGACATCTGCTCCATAAAGTCAGTGTGGAGTGTAATAAACAAATAGGTTTTGATGCTTTAAGAGACAGGAATAACATTCAGCCTGGGAGAATTAACTTGCTTTATCTTCTGGCAAGAACTTCAGTTTACTGTTGCCAGCTGGGTCTTATTGCAACACTGGTGAGCTAAGATGAGTCTGCACCACTGTGGTGTAAGAGCAGGACCGAAGGCAAGCCAGTAAGTACATGTTAGGGTGAACTTTATAGAATCATCATTTGGTGGGTAAAAAAATGGCCAAATACAAAACAATTTCGTATGGCTCAATGTAAGAGTAATGACCTTCCAAGGGGCAGACAAAGGACAGGAGCTCACAACTGGGTCTGTGTCCATCCTTCTCTTAGGTAACCCTGAACTGACTGAGAGAGGGGGGAAGCTTTAAAGGCTGCACACAATTTGCCTTAAAGTGGAGTGGGATAGGGAAGGAGAAAAACATAAGGAATCAAACTGTTAAAACGCTCCGCATCCTTACAGGGTTGACTGTGATAGGTTGAGCAAAGGCATGATTTCCATGCAACAGAAAGGGCTCAGGCCACAGTCACAGATTTTCTAGAAAGCCATGCTGAACCAGGGTAAGTCTGATGTTCCAGGGACTGTTGCTCTCATCTCCACCTATCTGCCCATTAAAGAGGGATATTTAGGAAGGAAGGGAAGAAGGGAGAGAGGGAGGGAGAGAGGGAGCGAGGGAGGCAGGGAGGGAGGGACCTGGAATCAATGCCATTGCACCATTGTCTATAAAGGAAATTGCCAAGTGTGTCTTGAGAAGGGGTCACAGATGGGCAAGAGAGTGCTTTCTGGGATGGGGCAATGCACCAATCCCAAGCATGGCCACCAGGAGGCAGAGTGGCTGCACGAGTCTCTGCCTCCCAGCCCCCAGGAGCCAGAGTGAGCTGAAGACACCAAGAGAAAGCCCATGTAGCAGGAATGGCATGGAATTTCAGCACATTCTTGACACTAGAGTGACAGCTCTTACTACTCAAAAAAAAAAAAAAAAAAAAAAAAAAAAAAAAAAAGAAGTTATGGGTTGCCTTCCAGGTCTAGGTCTGGAAACAAGGAAACAGGAGGGGAAGGAAGAAATTGAAAGATCAGTATTTACCTCATATTCCATGCAAGAACAAAACACTAATGGGAGAAGATCTACAGGCCAGACACTTCCACCAGCTTTAACTCTCCATTTGCACCAGAGCCCTGGGTAGCAGGTGCTGCTCTTAGTCTCTGTTTTGCATATAAAGTAACAGGAACAAATAGAATACAGTGACTTACCTTAAGTCACATAGGCAGTGAGCAGCCAAATGGATCTGGGTCTTGGAAATCTGGCTCCATAGCCTTACTAGGCCCCATGGGACCCAACAAAGGCTAAGGATGGAATCAGGTGTTTGGGGTTAAATCCACATGGGCTCCATCCAGCAAGTAAGGTGTGAGTCAGCTGTTATAAATCAAGCTAAGGGGAGGCTCAAAGGCAGGGATTTTCCAGATGGCTATTATGTCACATTGAGAAGCAGTGAGTGCCCCCATAGCATCCAGTTCTGGATGATCTGTGAGTGCTCTTTACTCATCCTTGAGAAAGCAGCAAGCTGAGGGGATATCAGGTCAGAACACCTTGATTCAAGTGGAAAATCTGATGAGGGGCAGCAAGATGAAGTCAGGGACTCAAGATTCAGCACAGGACCTTGATGACTGAGAAATTCCAGCTTGATAAAAATGGAAAATGAGGCATAACTCAACTTTTTTAAAACAAGAAAGTGACAGGCAGAACTTGTAGGGTTTTTTTTTAAAAAAAAAAAAAAAAAAACAGGAAAATGACAAAACTCGTTGCAGAAAAAAACAGAATGGATCATGATAAGAATATCTTAGGAGGTTTCTATGCCAAAACTACATATCATTATCTTTAAGAATGTGGGGTGTGTGTGTGTGTGTGTGTGTGTGTGTCTGTGTGTGTGTCTGTGTGTGTGTGTACGTGTGAGTATGCTGGGAATGAAGCCCAGGGCCTCACACATACTAAGCATGCACTTTGTGACTAAGCTATAGCCCTTAGCTATAGAAAGCACATCTAGGGTAAAATAATGTGTTAACTCAAGTGTGTCAAGTGCCAAATTTCTCTGACTCAGAAAGGTGCAAGGGTAAATAAAGAGGCAGCTCACACTCACACACGAGTGTGCTCATGAGTCAACACTTGGCATTATCTTCAGCCAGCTCTGCGAGATCACAGGCCACCATCTCCCTCGCCTCAGAAACCAGAAATCAGTTTTCCTCACTGTACTGGTACCAAGGCAAAATGGCAATTCAATGCAGGTTTAGAGGGGAGTCATTTTCAGGAAATTCTGATAAAAACAACCAAATTCCACACACTGTTGAGTACATTAAGGAAGCAATAGGTTTATGCTGTATTCCCCGTTTCTGTTATCTTGTGAAGATATCTTGGCCCAGTTCATGTTCTACGACTAGATTAGGAAACTGAGAGGTCAAATGGAAGAGGGACTTTAGATAGAAAAGTTAGGTTAATTCAGCTGAGAAACTGTGTGGTCAAAGTTGTTGTGTAAGTAAAGAAGGGTACAGCAGACTGGAGAGATGGCTCAGCAGTTAAGAGCACTTCCTGCTTTTCCAGAGGACCCAAGTTCAGATCCCAGCACCCACATCAGGGGGCTCACAACCTCCTATAACTCCAGCTCCAGGGAATCCAACACCCTCTTCTGGCTCCCAGGGCATCCACACATGTGGTATACACTCATGCAAACACAAACATACCCATGAATAAAGATAATAAAAAGCTAAAAATAAATGAGGGAAGCACAGCCACCTGTCCAGGAACTTACTCATGCCACTACAAAAAGAGTTCTAAGTTAATGAGAAGCCAGACTGAATAATAAAAAGCTCCATTATAAAGATTGTTATGAGGGGCTGGAGAGATGGCTTAGTGGTTAACCCTGTCTTGCAGAGGACCTGCGTTCAGTTCCCAGCATCTATATCAGGCCTGTTACAACTGCCTGTTAACTCTAGCTCTGGTGGTTCCAATGGACTCCTTTGGCCTCTGAGGACACCTGCACTAATATGCACACACCCACAGACAGACACACATACACATAATTTTAAATTTTTTAAATAAAGCTTTTTAAATAAGACTGTTATGAGATTTAAACTATAACTGTGATGGATTAGCTAGTTATTGGTAAACTAATCTGAGAATCTCATTTTGTGGAAAATCATATTTTTAGGTGGTGCTTGAATCAAGCACACCCGGTCTGACCATGTAGCAGCTACAACACACAGAGATTTGTTCCTTATAATGCCTCTTCCACACCCACCTGCACACTCAACATTTAAAACAGAAACATGTTAGGTGAGAAGTAAATGCCTCTTGCAACCTTCTTTCATTCGTTCAAATACTTAATAAGCACTCCCTCTATGCCAGGCACTGGTCTAGAAATCGAGGAGAGAGACAAGCAGAGCCATTTTGAAGGTGAAGAAGTGACTCAGAACAAGAGAAAGGGGCTCTTGTGGCAGAGAGGCAGCCTGGGCTGTTCTGTGGTCTCAGAAAGAATTCCTGCTTCCTTCCGCCTGCTATGGAAAACCACTGGTGGGTTTGAGTGGAAGAGCGCCAAGATCCGACTTCAGGTAAGTCAGGAGGGAGCTGGTGCCTTGGTAGTAAGTAAGAAGAAAGCTTAAGAGAAAAGTAAATCTGAGACTTTGACCCTGAACCAGCAGGTTTGCTGATGGGTACAAGGTGTGAGAAAGGGAGGGGAGTCCAGAATGGCATGTGAGTCCTAGTGTGGGAAACTGGAAGGGTGGAGCTGTACTTCCCAGTTTTCAGCGGAGAGGTCGGTTTGCAAGTGATTGGCCTCTGTCAATGCTCCTGAGGACATAGGGAAACTTACTCCAGCCTTGACAGCAACTCACAAGGTTAGTGTGGCACCATCCATCCTTCACAGAAAGGATGGCCATATTAGAATACCTGACATGCTTGTTAAAAGGTCACAAATGGCCAAAGTGTAGAGAGCTCAAGAGTCTGCTGAATGATGGTCCTTGGACAGGACCCCTTTATTAAACTTCACCCACCCAAGGCTCAGGGACCATCGAGGAAGAGGGAGTGGAAAGATTGTAAGAGCCGGGGAGGAGGTACATGACCATATGGAAACAAGAGTCCTACAAGCTCCTGGGAACCTGCTCATATGATTCTATGGCAATGGTGTCAGCATATGCAAGTCCCAAGCAAACTCAGGCAGACAGTAACCCAGCATAGAACTGGGAAAATGAACAGCAGACCCCAATCTTATCTGAAGGAATGTTGGCAACTGATTGCTGCTAGATGAAGAAGAACTCATCTTCCTAAAACAAGGGACTTTAGATAGGCTGACTAGACTCAGAGGATGGACTTGCACTGGGGAACGGCTGGGAGCACTTACAACCAAACCAGTGGGCCTTAACAGGGATGACATGGTATATGGGCTGGGGAGGGGGGTATCATGGGGGGGTGCCAGTGGGGATGGGGGTATAAAGATGACAAGAGGACAAGAGTTCAGTTCCCAGCACCCACATGATGACTAACAACTGTCTGTAACTCCAGTTCCAGGGAATCCTACGCCCTCTTCTAGCTCTGCAAGTATTGCATGCATGGGTACACTTACATATATGGAATCAAAACACTCATACATAGCCGGGTGTGGTGGCATATGCCTTTAATCCCAGCACTTTGGAGGCAGAGGCAGGTAGATCTCTGTAAGTTCGAGGCCAGCCTGGTCTACATAGTGAGTTCCAGGCCAGCTGGGCCTAGAGGAAGACCCTGTCTCAAAACAAACAAACAAAAAACCGAAAAGAAACCTCATACACATAATTTATTTTTAAAAATTAAAAAGCAAATTCTGAGGCCCACTTTACACCCACCAATTCCTTTCCAA